CTTTCTTTCTCCCTCTCTCCCTCCCTCTCTCCCTCCCTCCCTCCCCCTCCCTCCTCCCTCCTCCCTCCCTCCCTCCCTCCCTCCCTCCCCTCCCCCCTCCCTCCTTTCCTCCATTCCTTTCTCCCTCTCTCCTCCCTCCGCCCATCCATTCATCCTACTCTTAACCCCTTCCTCTCACAGGAACGCAAAACATTAACAAAGATTAGGATGGAATTTCACTTCAGACACAGAATGTTAATATCCTTCACGTATGGCACACTGTTTCTTTTGCATTACTGCAGTTGTACAATGAATCAGCACGCGCGTATTGCAGTGACAAAGTGATAAATTCTTATTGTCGTTTCCTGTCTGGTTGCATGTTTTCGTGATAGTGACGTTAATAGCTTTTGCATTAATATTTGACTTTTATATTTACGCCATTTGAATGTGTTTTAATCGCATATTTATTTTGTTTTTTTTTCTTTCCTCCAGGTACGGCATTGGTAGAATGGTGCTTTTCGTTGGATGAAGCAGAGTCTCGTGTAAGTGTTCGTTACGTTTACAGGTTTTGATCGTTTTGTGTGTTGTTTTAGAAGGATAAAGGTATTTTGGGAGATCCAAGGTAAGTTTTGCATCCAGTCGGTGCTGTTATTTGTGTTTAATGTTGATTACGAAATATAGAATGGCACTATTTTTCATATTTGGACAGAAGTTCCTGAAACTTACTAGCCACATAAATTTCACAAAACAGTGATCTAATACCTGGTTCTTTAATTTATTGTAATTGAACGTAACTGATAAAGGTATTTCATGTGTGTGTGTGTGTGTGTGTGTGTGTGTGTGTGTGTGTGTGTGTGTGTGTGTGTGTGTGTGTGTGTGTGTGTGTGAGCCTAATGCAGCTAACATGAGCTAATCCCGATGCGTCAGTTACAATCGGAGACGACAGATGGAAAGAACTGCATGTGTCTCAGCGCATTAAAGCCGAACTTCAATATTTATAGGCCGTTACAGTGGAGGCGACAAACACGGCGACAGGTGGGATTTCGCCGTGAAAGCCATTCCACAACTGTATCCCTCGGCAAAGAGACGGTGGCGGGGATGGGGTGGGGGTGGGGAGGTCTGGAAGCACCTTCGTGTCTCGCGTGGGAACTGTTTTGGTCCCTCTTTGTCTTTCGTATCTGCCTATCTGTCATTCATCCTCCTCTCCTTTCTTGTTCTTTTCCTGGTCGTCTTTATCTGTGTGCCCCCTCTCCTCTCATCCCCTAACTGCTGCCCCTTCTTATCACCATGATCCTCCTCCCTCCCCTCTCCCCTCATCCTCCCTATCCCTTCACTCTCGTCCCTTTCCTCATTTTCTTCTCTCTCCTCCCTCTCTTCCTCCTAGCCTCCCTTCCCCCTCCTCCCTCCTTCCCCCTCCTCCCCCTCTTCTCCCTCTCCTCCCTTCCTTTCCCCTCACTCTCATCCCCATCCTTCCTAACCGGAACAAAGAGGGAATTGTGCATTTCTGTCCCGCATGCCCGCGTCCTAATATATGTGGCTGTCTGCCTGTTGTCGCTAATGACTGTTGCTAATGGCGATTGTGATCAGTTAATAGGAACTGGCGTCGAGTGATGACCGCGGTGGCGCTCGTTGTGATGATGCTGTTAATCACTCGGTTGTTTATTTATGATAATTGGTGACATAGTTTTTGTGATATAAATGTTGCCTCTGTTGTCCCCGGGGATGGTACTAACTAGGCACGCCGTCATGTTAATAGATACAGCTAGAAGGTAATCAGCATGTTTGTTTGGGTCTAGGTCACCGTCGGGGGTCTGGGTAGCTTGTGCCTGGGGCTTATGAGGTCACTTCGGGTCACGCCTCCAAAGTGCACACAGATGACGATCTGTTTCCGGGAAAGTTTTCTGAGCGCGGTTTAGAAAGCAGGCGCAGGTAATGACGCGTCCTGTGCAAGGCCTTTTCCTCTCGGGTTCCGGCGTTTCATTTCTGAGGATGTGTGGATATGCATGCAGTCTTGACGATAAGATCATTGTGGTTGTGATTTGTTGTTGTTCATATGTTGTTGTACTTGTTATTTTGCTGAAGTTTTGTGAAGAGCGTTTGTATGGGCTCACTTGTGATAGATAGTCTGCACAAATTTAAGGAAGGTAATTGATGCGTCTTTCTGCACGCTTCATTTTTTATAGCGGCAGTATCTTATCGTGCATCATTCTCTCATATCCTCCGTGTCTCTGTGCTGATATGTGCGAAGACGCGTGAAAGAATAATGTTTGTATTGTTCAAGGTTCATTATTATTCAGCTGACTGCTGAGTAAGACGCGTGTTTTTGTTTGTGTTCGGAGAAAGTTTGCTGTTTCTTGAATAGTGCTTGGTTTATTGGAGGGTCATCGGTGTTGTACTTTAATCACTGATTTTATCATCAATTTGAATGTTATATTGTTGTTCAGTTCAGAGCGCCCTATAAACCTGCTTCATTTTAAACGCACTCGAAATTTTCAGAAAAGTAGACTCTTAGTACCAGCAAGAAACGTTGTCCTAATAAGCGGTATATTACATGATTTTAAAGTATATATGAGGTGAGACCTATTTTCTGTAGGCCTATTAAATATGGTAGTTGAAGACTGAATTGGGCAATAGCGAATAGCAGAGGCAACTCAGGATCATAATTATTGCTTTTTTGACCAAGAAATCAAAGAAGATAATGTGCTGAAGAGTGATAAGCATGAGTTATGACACTATCATTTATGCTCTGCTGTGGTACGCTTAGTGCATTACATTGTAATATTTATGCTTCTACTATTTTTATCGCCATTATCATGAAGATAGATATCGTGATAATTATCTCCACCTTTTCTTACTCCTCCTCATGACTCCCCTCCCTCTCTCTCTCTCTCCTCTCTCTCTCTCTCTCTCTCTCTCTCTCTCTCTCTCTCTCTCTCTCTTCTCTCTCTCTCTCTTTCTCTTCTCTCTCTCTCTCTCTCTCCTTTCTCTCTTCTCTCTCTCTCTCTCTCTCTCTTCTCCTTCTCTCCTCTCTCTCCTCTCCTTTCCTTTCTTTCTTCTCTCTCCCTTTCTCTACTCCCTCTCCTTTCTACTCCCTCTCCTTTCTTCCTTCCTTCCCCCTACTCCCCACTCTCCTTTCCTTACTCCTCACTTCCCTCCTTTCTTACTCCCCATCTAATTCCCTTCCCCACTCCCACTCCCAACTCCCATCTCCTTTCCTTTACTCCTCACTCCCCTTACTCCTCACTCCCACTCCCCACTCCCATCTCCTTTCTTTACTCCTCACTCCCATCTCCTTTCCTTACTCCTCACTCCCATCTCCTTTCCTTACTCCTCACTCCCATCTCCTTTCCTTACTCCTCACTCCCTTTCTTACTCCCCACTCCCTTCCCCATCCCCACTCCCACTCCCCACTTCCCCACTCCCCACTCCCTGCCCTCTTGCCTTTCCCCTCGAGCCCCTCATCCTCATATGTAACGACCACCAGCTGTGCAAGTGACGAATCGGGAACTGTATTTGCAACTCGACTTAAGTAATGAGGTTGGGAAAAAAGTCTGCATGTGCGCCTTGCAACTTGCAGAATGGACGAAATACATAAATGATGATTCGAGTGAGAAATGTGCTGAGTTTATGTATCTCTTTCTATATTATTATCACGGAGAAAGGAGAGGGAAGAGAGGAATGAGAGGGAGAGAGGAGGGAAGGAGAGGACAGGGAGAGATGAGGAAGGAGAGAGAGAGAGGAGGAAGAGGAGAGGGAGAGAGGAGGGGAGGAGAGGAGAGGAGAGGAGAGAGAGCGAGAGGGAGGGAAGGAGAGGGAAGGAGAGAGAGGAGGGAGGACAGGAGAGAGGAGGAAGGAGAGAGACAGGGAGAAGGAGGGAAGGAGAGAGACAGGGAGAGAGGAGGAGGAGGAGAGAAGGAGAGAGGAGGGAAGGAGAGAAGGGAGAGAGGAGAAGGAGAGAGAGGGAGAAGGAGGAGAAGGAGAGAGAGGAGGGAGAGAGAGGGAGGAGAGGAGAGACAGGAGAGAGAGGGAAGGAGAGAGACAGGGAAGGAGAGAGGAGAGAGGAGGAGAGACAGGGAGAGAGAGGGAAGGAGAGAGAGAGAGAGGAGGGAAGGAGAGAGACGGGAGGAGGGAAGGAGAGGACAGGGAGAGAGGAGGAAGAGAGAAGGGGGAGGAGAGAGGAGTGAGAGGCAGGAGAGAGAGGAGAGGGAGAGAGACAGGGAGAGAGGAGGGAAGGAGAGAGACAGGAGAGGAGGGGAAGGAGAGAGAGGAGAAGAGAGGGAAGGAGAGAGACAGGGGAGGAGGAAGGAGAGGAGACAGGGAGAGAGGAGGGAAGGAGAGAGGAGGGGGAGGAGAGAGGAGGGGAGGAGAGAGGGAGGAGGGAGGAGGGAGGAGGAGAGAGAGGGAGGAGGGAGAGAGAGAGGAGGAGAGGAAGAGAGAGGGGGAAGAGGGAGGAGGGAGGAGAGAAGGAGGGAGGAGGAGGAGGGAGGAGAGGGAGGAGGAGGGAAGAGAGGGAGGAGAGAGAGAGAGAGGGAGAGAGGAAGGAGAGAGGGAGGGAGGGAGGAGAGGGAGGAGAGAGAAGAGAGAGAGGAGAAGAGAGGAGAGAGAAGAGAGAGGAGAGAGGAGAGAGAGAGAGATGAGAGAGAGAGAGAGAGAGAGGGGGGAGGGAGGAGATGTTGGGAGAGAGGGAGAGACAGACGGAGAAACAGACAGACAGAGACAGAGGCAGATAACAGAGATAGATAGATAGATAATAGAGAGAGAGAGAGAGAGAGAGAGAGAGAGAGAGAGACAGACAGACAGAGGGGAGAGAGACAGACAGACAGACAGACAGAAGCAGAGGCAGATGCCGAAAGAAAAATGTATACCCTTGTGTGCTTCTGAGCATACTAGTGGCTCTTTGGATGTTAACGCGGCACCCTGACATTTGTTACCGGAGATCATCCACCTCCTTCGACCTTTGCTCTTCAGTTTCTCTCCGCAGCCTCCCTTCTCCCCCCCCCCTTCCCGTCTCTCTCTCTCTC